CAACTAGTGCACTAAGGGGTGGATAAACACATGTGGCGAATGCAAGGGCAGAATAACGAAACTGCGTCAACGGGGTTCATGTAATGCGCAGTATGTGAGCCATCGTTATGTGAGTTCTATGTGTGTTCTTCTTGTGTGTGTGTGTGTGTGTGTGTGTGTGTGTGTGTGCGTGTCTTCTGTGTGTGTGTGTGTGTGTTCTGTGTCTTCTGTGTGTGCGTGTGTTCTGTGTGTGTGTGTGTGTGCGTGTGTTCTGTGTGTGTGTGTGTGTGTTCTGTGTCTTCTGTGTGTGCGTGTGTTCTGTGTGTGCGTGTCTTCTGTGTCTTCTGTGTGTGTGTGCGATTTACGCGTGCTTCTGCAACACTCACGTCAAGAACAAGGCACAGGTGAGAGCATGCCCAGCGAATGGATCAGGGGTCGACTCACGTGCATGCTGAGCTTGTCGCCACTGGCAGACTTGCGAGGGCATTCACTGTCAGGGACACGCTTCAGGATACCAACGCGAAGCTATGAAGACGTTGTGCATGCGACACACGGTTATCAAAACTGCCACACACGGGCAACGTGCGCAGGCAGAATGAAACCAGCCAGCGATTCGATTGCTACTTGGCTGGTGGGGCAGAAGCAAGCAACGACACAGTGGCGAAAGGGAGGACCATGCATACACGGCAACCAGCTCAGCTCGCCAGCGAACACCCAACGCACGAAGCAGGCAACTCACACACCCACACCCACACACACACGACACACACGCGCGCGCGCGCACGCAACCACTGACCTTGCCATCCTTGGGAAGGTCGCCGCCAGCAGGCTTCTCCTCGTTTGGGTCCGAGAACGCAGCGGCACTGCACACAAGCGCAGCCAGCGCCACCACCACAAACACTCGCGTCGTCATCGTTGTTGTTGGTCTCGCTTGTTGTCGTCGTCAGTGCTGTTGCTCTCGGCGCTTCTGGTGTTGCGCAGTAACCGAAAATTGTTTAAAACAGCCGGTAATTTTCGCGCCTGCGATGTGCCCAGCACTCGATCGATCACAGAGAGCAAGCCACCTGTCAATCTTCAGGCAAGCAAGCCGACAAGCAAGGCGACGCAAGCAACAAGGACAAGGGGGTACGTGTTGGTGAGCACGCACACACGTACACGCACTCACATCACGCACATCACGCATACGCATTCACAGCAACACACACACGAACATCGGCCGCTAGGACGACGCACACACGAACACACGCCCTGCGTTTTGCTCACGCTTGTGGTACAAAGAAAGGAATGAAGGAGGGAAAGAGGCAGGAACGTGGTTTTGTCATCCTGCTCCCTTTGGTGCCCTGGTGCAACGTTGCACGGCGACAGTCGCGAGCCCTCATCATCATTGGTCTTCTGCCCTGTGTTCCCTTGCTTGTGATGGTAGGTGTTTCACAGTTGCTGTCACCGCTTCCCCACGAACAACGGGTTACGTTACGTCAACAGGCCGCCGTTCCCCTCTTTTGGTGAGGAATTCCCCATTTACTTCTTCATCTTCCAACACTCAGCCAAGGTCTGTCATCTCCGGTGGTCACGACTGCGTGTGTTCTGTGTGCAACTGTAAGCGGTGACAAATGTAAGCGGTGACGCAAATATCGAAAGCCATGTGTGTGCGGGTGCTCAAGTGTTGCCTCTTGTCGACAGCTGCCCCTTTTTCTGCACGACTGCCTCTTGTCGATGGCAGAGCTCGGTCAATGCTTGCGCCTTGTCGATGCCTGGCCCAACAGACAGCCATCCCCCCTCCCCCCACCTTTGGGCATCCCTGCCCGAGATCACACACACACACACGCTCTCTTCTCACATAAGTTTTTTGGTCGATCCACCAGCAGGAAAGACCGGTCTCGCTCAAGAGTCGACGTGTTTGGTACTCATCTTCGCATTGCGACCCACTGCTCCCAAGAGAATTCAACACCTCAGGTACCAACCGGCAACCCAAATGCTGCCGTAAGCCACAGTCCTGGCGGTTTTGTTTTGTTGCTTCCTCTGATCGCCTCTCATCTCCTCTCATACTTGCCACACGTCCTTGCCCATCACGACCGCGGTCTACGCAAGCACGTGGTATTCATCTCGCCCTCATATCACGCTGCGCCCCTGCTGTGCTTTGAATTTCACCAGCTTGGCTCAGTGCCACCCCACGCACGCATACAAACGAGCGTACCGACGCAGACGCATACGCAGACACGCTGCCTTCACCGCGACATCTGCGAGGCGTTTTTTTTTTTTGTGCCGTGAGCGTGTGCGGCGCCTGGCTGTGGCATGGCCCAGACGTTTCCTGTTGCTCTCGAGTGTGCGGTGAGGGAACCACCATCATCGGCACGCACGGCAGCCACACAGCAGCTGCTACCAGCCACCACGGTCCCTGGCGTCAGAGCAACCGCTGCAACCAACACTTCGAGGCAGGGCATTTCTGTTGCGCCTGCTATGATTGCGGTCGTGCACAGCACAATGACGGCCGGGCACAGCGATGGCGAGGAAGGGGGTGTCACGCCGCACCACGAGGAGTCAGTCAAGACGGAGGAGGGACAGGAGGGACAGGAGGGCAATGCCGGTGGCGGTGACGATGACCGCAGAGACAACCAACGCAATCACAACGGAGAGCAAACTGAGGGCGGTGGTTGTAACAGAGGAGTGGGTGATGCTGGTCATGACACAGGCGACTGCGCCACCAACAACGACGATAACGATGATGATGATGGTGATGATGATGATGGTGATGATGATGATGATGGTGGTGGTGGTGGTGATGATGATGACGAAAACGGGCGTGAAAATGAGCACGAGGATGGCAATGCTGGGCGTGCTGCTGCTGAAGGTGAGGAAAGAGCTACAGTCGCCAATGGTGGCGGCAACAGCGGCAGCCACGAGAAAGCGGGGAGCGCCCATGGCGGTGCGACGGAGGAGGTAGCAAAGGAGCAGCAGGTGATGGCAGCAACGGCAGGGCAGCCAGACGTCAAACATGGCCCGAAGCACCCAGCGCTGCTGGAAGAGGAAGCGGATGATGACGTGGAGAGCGAGATGAGGAACGTGGCGGCTCTCGCTGACCACGAGGTGCAGCGCAGCGCCGCAGCGGGCTGGACCGCAACCAGCGGCGGTGGCGGCAACACGCAGGCACAACAACAACAACAACAACAACAACAACAACAACAACAACAACAACAACAACAACAACAACAACAACAACAACAACAACAACAACAGCAGCAGCAGCAGCAGCAGCAGGGACCCGGTGAAACGCTGTTAGGGCCCGGTATGTACCCGCAGGCAGCACCACTGTCACCACAAGCAGGCATGCCGTGGTGGTGGACGCTCGACCCAAATATGCTGACAACAGCCCCAGCACCGCCGACTCCAGCCGACATACAGATGCTGCTGAGTGCAACAGCGCCGTATGCGTGGGTGCTGGCCCCCATGTGGTCTCCCCAGCAAGGGAACAACACCACCAGCGCCAACAACGGGGTTGCAGCGCCCACGACGACAACGGCCGTGGCTGCCACAACTGCGGCGGCAACTGCAGCAGAGACTGGCCAGCAGGCCGGCGGCCCCGCAGCCAACGTGTCGCCGGCACCAGGTGGTGATGGCAACCTGATGCTGGGGCAGCAACTGGCCATGCAGCAAGCCTCGCCCCTCGTCTCACCAGCAGCAGCAACGGCGGCTGCTGCAACACTCCAAGCAATACCTGCGTCTGCTTCGGCTGGCGCGTCAGTCAACCCCATGGCACCACCCGTCCTGCAACAACAACAACAGCAGCAGCAGCAACAACAACAACAGCAGCAGCAGCAACAACAACAACAACAACAGCAGCTGCTGCTGCAGCAGCAACAATTGCAGCAACAATTGCAACAGCAGCTGCAACAACAACTGCAACAGCAGCAGCACGCGCGCCAGGCGATGGGCCACATGTTGCAGACGCCTGCCGCGTTTCCGGCGGTCAACGGCCTCTTCGTGGGCGGCATGCTGCCGCAAGATATGCCTGCGCCTCCATTTCTCCTGCCGTTCCACCGCCAGCAGCCGGGCCAACCCTTTGTGCCATATCCGCTACAACAAGGCGCGCAGGCATATCATCGCCACGTGCAAGATGCCCTTTCAAAACTGAGCGCACAACAACAACAGCAGCACCAGCACCAGCAAGAAGAAGAGGGGGAGGGGGAGGAGAAGCAACAACAACAACAACAACAACAACAACAACAACAACAACAACAACAACAACAACAACAGCAGCAGCAGCAGCAGCAACAGCAACAACAACAACAACAACAACAACAACAACAACAGCAGCAGCAGCAGCAGCAGCAGCAGCAGCAGCAACAACAACAACATCCAGCACTGCAATCCTCACAGGCACAAACGCAGTTGTTTGGTCACTTTGTCGGGGGAGCACCGCCTGAGGCATCCCCACAACGGCAGCAAGCTCGGCGGAACCTGTGGCATCTTGAAAATGTGCAGCAGCAGCAACAGCACCAGCAGCACCAGCAACTACAGCAGCGGTTGCTTGACCATGCCTCTGATGGGCGTCCAACTGGGTTTGCACAGATGCTGCAGGCCGTGCTGTCCCGCCACCCGTCGGATGTCACGCCGCCGCCACAGTCACCAACCCACGCACATGCGCTCGCTGCTCGCCTCGACCACAACGCGTCGCTCATCCCTGAGCCGCCGACACCGGGCGAGGCGCGCTCCCCGCACCAAGTGCACGTCCACAGGCGCCAGCAACTGGAACAGCTGCGTGAACAGTATCGCCAGTGGGAACTTGAGCAGCTGCGAGAACAGCAGCGCCAGCGGGAACTGGAACAACACCAACAAGCGAAACTGCAACAGGCACCACAACTGCTGACACGGCAACAGCCACAACAACTGCAACAGCAGCGGGCTCACCTGCGGTCGCTGGCTGCTCGTGGGCTAACGCCGGCGTCGCGGCGCCGTCGTCGCTCCATGGGGCGAAGCGCTGGCGGTATTGGAGGTGTTGCCGGTGGTGTTGTTGCACAGCCCATCCCACTCTACTCGCCCACTGGTGCCGCATCGCAAGCAGCACACGCAGGTACCGCACCCCACCACGCACACCACCACATTCACCACCACCACCACCAGCCACTGCAACAACAGCAGCAACAGCAGCAGCAGCCACAGCCACTGCAATACCAGCAACTGCAACAACAGCAGCAACTGCAGCAGCAACTGCAGCAGCCACAGCGGCCGTCGCCTGCAGCGCTGCGGCGGCTCGGGTCTGCCAGTCGGCCGGGCAAAGGGCGGCGGGGGTCCCGCACCAAGCCCGCGGGCCGCGTCACCCCGGAGCGCGGTCTCAACAAGGCGCACAATTTTGAGTGGATCAAGAAGTGGGTGGCGAGCGTGCAGAACCCTTCGATTGACGGTTTCTCGTGGGAGGACGAGAACCGCGATCGAAGCGGGCTGGTTGTTGAGCCGCAGGAGTCAGCAGCAACAGCAGCTGCTGCCGCTGCTGTTTCTCTGCACTCTACCCACTCTCACCACCACCAGCACCACCACGCACCCCATCAACCGCATCAGCATCACCACCATCATCACCACCACCAGCACCACCACGCCGCTGTGACAGCAGCTGCCTCCTTGACTAGCGCGGGTGCGGATGCAATAACGCGAGCGCTGACAACGGGTACGAGCGGCAGCCCCAATGGCAGCGGGGATCAGGACGGTGCTTTGCTGCGGCAGTATCACGACCTGCGGCAAATGTGGATAGCGGTGATGCAGCGGGTGCGCAGCCAAATGCCGCGATTGGTGCACAGCATCAGTGACCCAATGGCGGTGAAGGCTGTGCTGCGCGCTTCCGGCAGGCCCATCGGCGGCGGCGGCATCAAGACCCCCACACCGCCTTCCGCAGGCAGGTCGCGTGCACGCCCACAGCCCCAACGGCCCGCCACCACTGCCACCACTACTCCGCTTATCACCGCCGCCGCCGCCGCCGCCACGGCCAGCGCCATTCCCCTCGTCACCGCTGCGACCGCCGCCGCCACCGCGACCACCACCCCCGCGGCGTTGGCGACGACGACAGCGGCAAGCAACCAGCTCTCGCACCTGTTTGTGCCCCCCGTGCCCACCCATGGCCCGGGGGTGGTGCGGATGGTGCACGGCGCATCGCCAGCTGTCGGTGATGCCTCTCGGCTGCGCGGGGGCGGTGGCCTGAGTGGCCGTGGCCGTGGCCGTGGCCGTCGTGGTCGCGGTGTTGGGGGTGTTGGGGGTGCTGGTGGTGTTGGTGGTGTTGGCCAGCATGGCCATGAGGGTGCGGGTGAACCATCTCCAAAGCAGCCAAAGCGATCGCCGCCCGAGTGATTAGCAACGTGTGGGCGAATGTGGGAGTGCCTGTGTATGTGTGTGTGTGTGTGTGTGTGTGTGTGTGTGTGTGTGTGTGTGTGTGTGTGTGTTTGTTTGTTTCTCTCTCTCAGCCGCCATAGCCCCGACGGGTTGTTTGCTTGATTGTGGGTGTTCAGTTGACCATGCAGCCATGCTGTTGGGTTGAGTGCATGCCCTTTGGACACTCGCTCGCATATTGTATTCCTGATGTAGTTTGGCTTTGGCTTTGATGTCGTCTGGTGTGTTGCTGTGTTTCATTTATGTTTTTGGCTTTGTGTTGGTGTTGTGTTTGGTTTCGAGTAGTGTGGTGTGTATGGGAGCTGTTCGTTTGACCAAAGATACTGTCATTGTGATATCACTTGTTCCTCCTGTCGGTTTTGGCTTCTTCCCTGTCCTTGCCTCTGCATGCGTTGCACGTGTGCTAGGAGCGCTTTCCATGCGATGACTGTTGATGACTGTTGATGACCTTATCAGAACAAACCAAATATATACCAGCCAGACAACAGAGCATGTCAAACAGCACAACCGCACACAACACAACCGCACAACCGCACACAACCCACACACAACAAAAAAAAACGAGCGCACCCATCTGCTGCATTTTGTGGTGTCGTGACTCCCCCTATTTTGCGACTCTTTTGCGAACCGCGAACGACCAAGATGGTGCGTGCGATCGCTGTGCTGCTGATTGCTGTTCTTGTTCCTGGTGTGTCCATCCATCCGATGCACTGGCCGGTTGTCCTGCTGACCCTCACACGGTTCGATCCCTCGCTCATGGCTCGTGCACTCGTCGTACTGTCCCTACTATCGATTGGTTTGTGTTACCAGGGAGTGCCATCCTTTTATCGGTGGCTCAGCCGCAAATACCCCAAGTGTGTCAAGGATGTTGTGGAGGATCGGCCGCAGGTCAGTGAGCGCTGATGGCCAAAGATGATTGTTGCCCTTGGCGCATCTGAACTTGTGCGAACCCACACACGCGTCAAAGTGGGAGGGGGATGCTACAGCGATATTTGAGTGGATCGAGGACCTCACCGTTGTTGTTGTTGTCGCTGTTGTGCGTTGTCCCTGCCAGAACATTGGTGGCGAGTATGTCCCAGTGGACATCTCGCAACCGAACCCAAACAAGCGAGAGTTTGACAACCTCTACCTGGATATGAACGGCATCATCCATCCTGCGTCTCATCCCGAGGATCGGCCCGCCCCAGAGACAGAAGATGACATGTTCGTCGCCGTTCTTGAGGTACATCCTTGATGTGTGATTGTGCGTATGCGTGTGTGCATGGCTCGCTTTGCCTGCTTGTTTGGACAGCCTTCTTTCGTGGAACGTAGATGCGCCTGTTGCTTGCACATCCATCACGGCCCTGACTTTCTCGTCTCTGCACGCAACACGCTACTCCGCACTGCTCATGCAACGTCGTTATGCCTCCCATCACCGTCCCCGCCCTCATTGATGTCACACAATGCCAGTACCTTGACCGCGTGGTGGCGTGTGTCAGGCCACGCAAGTTGCTGTTCATGGCCATTGACGGTGAGTGAGCGGGTCGCAAGGCCCTGAATATCGTTGCATGCGTGCCTTGGGTTGTACGCTCATGTGTTGTGCCCAGTTGTTCGCGCGTGCTCACATCACATGCCACGCAGGTGTTGCTCCGCGCGCCAAGATGAACCAGCAGCGATCCCGTCGCTTCAAATCAGCCAAGGTGTGCCTTAATGCTGTGTTGTGGTGGGGGTGTGTGGTGGGTGGTGGGGGTGTCTGTATCTCTGTGTGTGTGTGTGTGTGTGTGTGTGTGTCTGTGTCTGTGTCTGTGTCTGTGTACGTGTTGATGCGTGCGCATGTGCCTGCATGTGTTTGTGTGCTTCCCTGCCGTTTACCAACTTGATGCGGCGTGAGAGCCGACGCCCCATCTCACATGTGCGGCGTCTGTATCCTTCGCTGCGTTGTTCATCGTGCAGGAGCGAGAGCTGCAGGAGCAGGCAACACAGGCCATCATCAGCGAATGGAAGGAGGCTGGCAAGGATGTCTCCGAGCCGAAACAGTGCGTCCGCGTTGTTCTTTCCACCGTTGCGCCATGATGCCGCTGTGTCGTACTGTACTGTGATGTGATCCAACAAGTATTGGTCGTGCGTGCTTCAAAGCGCGTTCCCTCCCCGAAACGTGACTGATTGCGATCAAACCTTCTGCCAACAGGACGTTCGACTCAAACGTCATCACGCCGGGCACGCCGTTTATGGACAAGCTTGCAGGTGCGTATTCTTGTCGCATGCAAACCATGTACACAAGCAGAGTACAAGCCATGCCGCAACGTCAATGCAGCACACACACAGGAAAAGCAACAACATCACGCACAGGAAGAGCAACATCACGTACAGGAAGAGCAACATCACACGCGCGCGCGCACACACGCGACATGCACGCACACCCTCTCGCCTTAACCGCTTGCTGTTCGCTGGATTGTGCACATGACGCGTTATTTGCTGCTGCAGAGTACCTGCGGTGCTTCATCCATGAGAAGGTGTCCTCCGATCCAGGATGGACAGGCATCAAGGTCCGTGTGATGGAGGTGTGCCGCACAGTGTGCAGCGAGCATGCGTGTGCAGGGTGAGGATGCAGGGACAGACGTACCGATTCAAGCTCACGCACCCGCTTGCGTTTTAACTCACCCTGGCTCGTTCACCCGCTCGCTCACTCCTCCAAACGCCACACACACACACACACACACACACACACACACACACACACACACACACACACACACACACACACACACACACACACACTTACACACACACACACACACTTACACACACACACACTTACACACACGCCCGCGGCACGACGGTTCAGGTGATCTTGTCTGATGCAACTGTACCCGGTGAGGGCGAGCACAAGATCATGGATTTCATTCGCAGACAGCGCGCACACCCAGAATACGACGCGAACACCAGGTGATGTGGGGAATTATTTCGCTTTGTTTGTTTGTTCACGCATTGTTCCTGCTTCTGCCTCTGCTTCTGCTTCTGATTGGGGTTACACATGCACCTGCTTCGGCGCCCTTTATTTGATGGCACGCATGCTCACGCAAAACACACACACACACACACACACACACACACGTCGGTCCCTCCCGATCCACATCATCCCTGCAGCCACGTGATTCACGGATTGGATGCAGATTTAATTCTGCTCGCGCTGGCGACACATGAGCCGCATTTCACCATTCTTCGTGAGGAGGTCACGCCGCGCAACCGCGAAAAGTCTGCACAGGAGAAGGCAATGGCAGCCCTTGCTGTACGTCGTGTATGCATCTGGATTGTGTCGCGTGTGTGTATATGTACGTACGTGTGTGTGTGTGTGTGTGTGTGTGTACGTACGTGTGTGTGTGTGTGTGTGTGTGTGTGTGTGTGTGTGTGTGTGTGTGTGTGTGCCCTGGTTGCTTTGCTCGGTGCCCCCTCTTTCTGATGCCAAATTGTGCTGCCCTACTCTGCTGTCGCGGGTGAAGGCTGAAGAGAACGGGGCAGAAAATGCAGCGGATTCCAACGGCGTTTACTCCCGCCCCTTTCAGGTTGATTGCACACTCCCACACGACACACGCGTACACGCACACATGCCCACAGCGCACCCACGTGTTCCCCCGCATAATCGTATCAGTGACAATGCGGATACGCACGCAACGTGATATCGCCAGCCTGCTCACTATGACAATACCTGTGTGTGTGTGTGTGTGTGTGTGTGTGTGTGTGTGTGTGTGTGTGTGTGCAGTTCCTGCAGGTGAATGTGCTGCGAGAGTATCTGGAGAAGGAGATGCGGGTGGCAGATTTCTCCGCTGCCGGCGGATTTGACCTCGAACGCGTCATCGACGACTTTGTCTTTATGGTGCGATCGTAAGCACTGCGTGCGACAGTGTGTGTGTGTGTGTGTGTGTGTGTGTGTGTGTGTGTGTGCGTGCGTATGCCTTGCGTGTGCCTGTGCGTGTGCGTGTGCGTGTGCGTGTGCGTGGGGGTTTGCAGATGACAACACACCTGTGATGACACACCGGTCTCATTGAGTCGTTGTTCTGCGTTTCGTCATCAGTGCTGTTTCGTCGGGAATGACTTTCTGCCCCACCTCCCATCCTTGAAGATCAACGAGGGCGCCATTGATGTATGTCGTTGCTACTGACACCGATGGTGTCTATGCTTGTTGATCACTGTGTACGCATGCTTCGTTGCACATGAACGGAAGCACAACATTGCACATGCTCGCATTGTACAATGCATTGTGTCGCCGCATCCCACCACACACACACACTCACTCACTCACTCACTCACTCACTCACTCACTCACCACTCACTCACTCACCACTCACTCACTCACATACTCACTCACTCACTCACACACTCACTCACTCGCCCACTCACTCACTCACATTCCTTGCATGTGACTTTTGCAGACCATTCTTGATCTGTATCGGAAAGATTTTCCGGCGTTTGGCGGATACCTGACGCAATCATCAGAGGTGTGTCAATACAGACGTGCTTCTCGCATTGCAGTTTGCACACACCGCAACAGCAGATGTAGCGCATGAGACACGTGCAAAACACGAGGTCAACCACCACCATTATCAATACCGCCACCACCATCACCGCCCTTGCTCCTCTCCATGTTCACTCCATCATCATCATCATCATCACCACCACCATCAGGTGAACCTTGAACGGGTGCAGCTGCTGCTGCATGGCCTGGCAGAGGTCGAGAACAAGATCCTCAGCGATCGACGGGTGAGCCAAATGTGTACATGTGCTCCATTTAGGGGGGAGTTGGCTGCTGAGCTGTTGTTTGGGTTGTTTGGGTTGCTGTGTTGTTGCTTTGCTTACTCAGCTGGTGTTCTTGTCATTCTGTCCCGCGCGCATGTGTCTTTGCAGTTCAAGGAGCAGCGGCGAAAACAAAAGGATGTCGACATCACCAACAAGAAGACAACGCGCGAACATCTGCAGGTCCGTGTGCCACCACTCCTGTTTGCTCTCTTAATGCTGGCCATACAAGGGTAATGCGGCATGCATCCACACGTACACACACGCACACGCACATGCAAAGACACAATAGCGTAGCATATCTTAACACGTTTACACACACGCACACACACACCACGTGTGTGGCTGGTTTTCTTCCACGTCTTGCACTGCTCACCCTCTGTACACTGTTGTTGTTGCTGTGGCAGTTGATCCTGGATTGCGCTCTCAGCCCGCCACAGCTGCCCATAGGCGACTCGGAGGTGCGCACGTAGCACGCATGCCACCACACCCACACACATGACTGAAAGTGCACCTGATTGAGCATGCATCCACGCACACACACGCAAACACACATACACACGCACGCACACACGCACACGCACATGCCCCCGCTATGTGCATCGCTTTAGCCCATGCCAAACGCACTCTCACGCCACTTTTACCTCTCCTTGGCACTCCCTATCTCTTCCTACCCCACCGCCGTCGACGCACGCTCACTTGCAGCCCCCGCAGAAGCGCCCACACATGCAGCAAAGAGTCACTGATCTTTCCTCCATCCATCACCTCTCCTCCGAGCACTTTCGGTACCGTTGATGCTCTTTTCGTTTCGCACGCTGGTGTCTGCTTTAAACGTTGCCTGTTGCTCCCACAATTTACTCACAACAACAACACCAACATTAACGACGATGATGACTTCTTACCTGTGTACTTGTCCCTTCTCCTCCCTCTGTTGTTTCCAAACCCCTCCCACGGCGTGTCTGCCATGGCGCATCAGCATCAAGAACCGTGGGCCGGGTGGTGTTCGCGTGCTGCGGCCGGATGTGGACGAGAGAAGTGCCAATCGTCTTCGTCTGCTCGATCGCATCAGGGAGTTTGCTGATGCCCATCCAAGGAAGGCAAAGATGGACCTCAAGTCCCTTCGCTCGTTTGAACGCGCGCTCGCACACGCCTACAGCGAGGAGCTTGGTCTAGGTGCGCAGGGACCCTGCTGTAGTGTGTGTGCGTGTGGCAGGTGTGAACACTGGTTTTCGATTGCTTGGTCGGCTCCTCAATGCATGTAGCAACTCACATCGTTCTTTTGTACACGTGTATGTCTTTGCTGCAGGCCACCGGTCTGAGGGGGAAGAGCCAAACAGGTACCTGGTCATCACTCATCCAGAGGTCGAGGACGAAGACGATGACGACGAAGACGAAGAAGACGAGGATGACGATGGCAGCGCAGCCCGCGACGTTCGTTGTGCACGTGTTTCATGTCTGCTTTGTTGCCTTTGCTTCGTGATTACAGCCCTTTACTCATTTCATGCAGTTGTTTTGCTTCTTTTTTTCCTCTGACACCCTGACTGACCATTTCACACACACGCACACACACACACACACACACACACACACACACACACACACACACACACACGATTGTGATTGCGTGGTCAGGCGTTGAAGGCGGCTGTGAAAGAGCGCCTGCGGAATATGAATGACAAACGCGTGGAGCAGCACGAGGAGCAAGTCAGTTTCGATCACATTTGCTCATCATGCTGTCATATCCACTTGCCTCAACCTCTGCATGGCGTCTCCGCACGCACACACACACACACACACACACACACACATACACACACATACTGCTGCGTCTGCCCTCTCACATCTGCCTGCACACGTCGACCTTCTGCCTTCCATATCTGGTGCAGGTGAATCTTGGCCTGCACGGCTACCACGAGCGGTACTACAAGCTCAAGTTTGGCGACAGCGTGCAGCCCCGCGACGTGGCGCGCGCATATGTGGAGGGCCTGTGCTGGGTCATGAAGTACTACTACGAGGTACGCGCGCGTGGTTCCGGTGGTGTGACACAGGATCATTATCGTCATCACCATCATCACCATCATCAACAACAACAAAAACAACCACAACAACAACGTCCATTGCCACGACAACGATCGAACTCACATGTTTTACGCGTGCGCGTCTGCTCCCTGTTTGTACGTCCGCATCGTCATTCCTTGCTGTGTCCTGTGCATCAGGGCTGTCCGTCGTGGAACTGGTTTTACCCATACCATTACGCTCCTTTCGCGCAGGATTTTGTCGACGTTGCCGTGAGTCTTCGTGCACATGCGCCTCAGATTGTGGTTACGTTCCAGTAACGTGCCCTTCATCGGCCCAACACGCACACGCCTGTGCTCATGCCGATAGTGTGTGTGTGGTGCTGGTCGCATCGTTTCAGGGGATGTCGATTCGCTTTGATGGTGGGTCGCCCTTCACGCCGTTCCAGCAGCTGATGGCCGTCTTCCCGCCCGCGTCCTCGCACGCCCTTCCCCAAGCATACAGGAACCTCATGCTGTGAGTGTGATCGTGCATGTGCGTGTGTGCATTTGTGCGTGGCAACCTCTCCCTTGTCTCCCTCCCCCCCCCCCTCCCTTTGCCTCCCTCTCTCCCTCCAACTCCTTCCCTCACACCTCTTGTACGCCACCGCCACCAATGCCTACCAGGGACCCCAAGAGTCCCATTGCAGACTTTTATCCACGCGAGTTTGAACTCGACTTTGACGGTGCCCGGTTTGCCTGGCAGGCCGTGGCCCTCCTCCCCTTTATCGACGTCGGTTGCCGCTGCATGCATGTTGTCTGCAAAGTAGCGCGTAAATCTGCTTGCTTTGCTGGCTCGATTCTTGCTACATACTTGTGTGAGCGTGTGTTTTCCTGTTTTCGTGCGCGCAAGCTCGCTTGACTGCGGTTTGCTGCACTTCTGTCGGAGCACTGATGATGATGTGTTGTGTACGCTGCCGCTCCAACCGCTCGAATGACTCCAACCTCATGTGCCCCCGCTGCGCCACCAGGAGACGCGCCTGCTGACGGCAATTGCACCGCTGGAGTCGACGCTCACGGAAGAGGAACGGCGGCGAAATGCACGCGGTGTCAACCTCCTTCACGTGCACCAGGTGTGGCTGCACAGGTGCACTAACTCATGCGCTCGCACATAAAACGCATCTGCACGCGCGTTAGCATATTAGACTGCGTACTTGCCTGCAGACGAAGCCCATCTTTGTCCTTGGTGCCTCTCTCTCTCTCTCTCTCTCTCTCTCTCTCTCTCTCTCTCTCTCTCTCTCTCTCTCTCTCTCTCTCTCTCTCTCTCTCTCTCTCTCTTTCTGTTGTGTTGTGTTGTGTTGTGTTGTGTTGTGCTCCGCTCACATCCACCCTTCTCTACCTCCTGCCCTCTCTTTATTTGTGTCTCCTTCAGCGCCACCCGCTTGCACTGCAGGTTGTGCCTCTCGACCCTGACTTTAGTGGTGACGACAATGATGCCCGCGAGCACCAGCAGCAGCAGAAAGAGCAGGAAGAGAACAAGCAGTCGCCAGGTGAGGCTGCCACGGCTGAACAGGCGGGCACACCACTGCTCTCTGAGGCGGAACAGAACGCGCTGGCGGCGGAGCAGCTGCAGGCCGAGCTCATGGGCGATTACGAGCGCGCAGATGAACTGAAGAGGAAACTCGAAGCTGCACAGCAACAACAACAACAACAACAACAACAACAACAACAACAACAACAACAACAACAACAACAACAACAACAACAACAGTCGGGCAATGTGGTCGTGAATGCGACTGATGCTGCAGCAGCTGAAGCTTACAAGACAAGCCTTCCACAGGGTGCAGAAGAGATCAGGGATGTCTCACAGACAGGCATATCTGGGTTTGTTCGCTATTCTCAGCTCTCCGTTGGGCTCGGCGTCTTGTACACCCCGCCCGAATTTAAGGGGAAAAACACGGACAGTGTGTATCTTCTCAAGGCGTTCACCAATCGCACGGCCATGTCGCAATACTACTTCCCAGCGCCCTGCAAGCACCAGTCACGCATCCTGCCAGCCTGCACCCTCCCGACCCCTGTGCTGGACAACCTGGACACGATCAACTTCCCCCGCTTCGTGTCTGTTCCTCGTGGTGGCTACCACGGCGGTCCCCCAATGATGCATGGCCGCTCCCGCGTGCCCTCCCAGTTCCAGCTGGCGGTGGCGCCTGGCGGTGGTGGTGGTGGCTTCCCTGCCGGCCCGCGCCCCGGTGTGCATTACCGCAATCAGATCACTGCTGCCTTCCACGCACCGCCGCTCCTGCCCACCGGTCCCCAGCAGCACGCGCCATACCCCCACCACGACTCGTATCAGCGCGACCCGTATGCAGCAGCACTGCCGCCGCCGTCACACAGGCCACCGTACCGCCCACCAGCGCATGCACACGGGCGCGGAACGTACCCTGCGCCTGGTCGTGCCCCGACCCGTCCGCCCTCACAGCTGACCCAGCCATATCTGGGCTCGCGTCCCCCACCCCCGGGCTCGGTGTACCGGCCGTCGTACCCACCGGCACATGCCGGATCACGCCCGCCACGCGCTGTGTACGGTGGACCCGACAGGCACGCAGCCCCGTACCAGCCACAACCGCCAGGGCAGGGATACCGCAGGTACCCTGATCGCCAGCGTGACTATGCGGATTACGGAGCCACACGCTCTGACCAGTATGTGCCCTCTCGCGCGTACGGGTCACGCCCGCCGCCACCGCCGCATCAACAGCGCACATATCCAGCCAGCCACGGCGGACCGCCGCCCCCTGCACCGCAGCAACAACAACAGCAGCAGCAGCAGCAGCAAGGCTATCGTCCCACACACTTTCCCTCTGCGCGCAAGTGACTGAACTTTTGTGCACAGTGACCCGTTGGGCTGCGCTGTCTCGGTTGTCGTGCCACAACTGGCACTCCCTTGTACTACACGCTTGCAGTTTGTGCTTGCTGGCTTCCTTCTCGTGCTCACGTGCACCCTGGCTGGCGATCGACAGACAGTCTGTTGTCTTGCATGAGCCTGTATGTCACTTTACAACGAGTAAAGCAGCTGTGGTCGACATGGCAGTGTGATGGGTAGAGATGCACAGGTGCAATGTAGGATATGGGTTGCGAAATGACAGCCAGCACAACGCGCTCAACAATAAAACACCACTGTGTTCGCATAACAGCGCGGCAACACTCTAATGAGACGAAAAGAGAGAGGGGGGAACGGATGCGATCATATATTTCATGACACAAAACAGAGGCCGAGCTAGAAGAGGGTGCAAGTGGCTTGATGAATTGATACAACATAGAATAGAGCACATGCAACACTGCGGCTGCAATGCACAGCAGGAGGTGAAGAAAGCAAGTAAGCATCAAACAGGACCAACGCAAACATGTCACGTGTCAGGAAAAGGGATTGGACGGGTGCCTGCCAAAACTGCCGGTGTTGATGGAGGAGAATGCTGGTGTGGGGGGATTATGCTCGTCCTTCAAAGAGACAGGCAAAAGCTCTTCTGGATGGTGGTGCACCGTGTCATGCTGGTGGTACTGAGGATGTCGCTGTCGATGTTCACGATGGTGGTGCTGATGTTCGTGGGATTGTGCTTGCCGCTGGTATCGATGCCCTTGAGAAACAAACGGGGACCCGTCCTTGTTGTCGTTGTCAATGTCACCAGTGCGACCGTCACCACCATCGCCCTGCTGCTCATGACGCTGCGAGTGAAGAACATACATGTCAGTGTTGTGCGAGATGCTGCTTCTGCTGGAAGTGGAGTCGTTTGACATGGGCGATTTGCCCTCCTCGGCCACCATGTCGCGAAGCACTGACGCCTGCGCTCGAAGCCGCTGCAGTTCCGCTTGAATGGCACCCTTCTTCGCCTCCTCTTCGCTCACCTGTTCATCATGGCAATGGCGTGGGTAGTAGTCGTTATTGGCGTTGTGGGCGTGGTGGTGATGGTAGTGTGGTGTGATGGTGGTAGTGGCAGTGTAGTGTGGTGGTGGTAGTGTGGTGGTAGTGTGGTGTGACCGTGAATGTGTGGGTGTGCGTGAGCACAAGGCGTCATTGGAAGGCTATCCAACATCAAGGCAAGACACACCACCACCTTCCAATTGCCATTTCTCAGACAAAGCACCCAAGAGTCATTATATTGCAACAACTGCTGCGATACTTACGCGTTGCTGCAATGCGGCCTCTTCCAGCTTGTCTCGCTGCCGTCGCTGCCGCATGTACTCGCGCCGCCACTGCCGTGCCGCTTCCTGTCGTATGCACACACAGCACACAAGCACATAGGCACATAGACAATGTATGCACACACACACACACATCATTTGCAATGAGAACCAGCCAGGTTGCAAGGTACATCAACACGTGTTTCCTTGAGAGTTGTGTGCACGGCTGTTGTGAAACATGAGTATTTGCTGGCTGTGGCACTTTGTACGCACATCGCGCTCTTCCTTTGTGTTTCCTCGAATCTTCGTTGCGGGCTTGTTCGTTTCTGATGAAGCAACAGTGATCGTGTGAAAGGTTCGAGGTTAGCTGCGCCATGTTACATGAGACGCAAGAAAAACAATCGCAGTGAACTTGCCCATACACATGCACACGCGCAGATACACTGCAGGCACACACGCACGCACACGCACACACACACACATGTACCTGAGAAGCGTTGGACTTGTTCCAACTGAATCGGTAGTACCGTACAAGGCATTGCAGTATTGATGAGGCGGTGATCATGAATGGTCAATGGTCAACACTCCAACGCTAAACACACGCTCGCAACACCAGCAACTGTCAAACACAGCCCTCTTGCTGTCTGCATGTGAAGAATGGTGCACATACGCACGCACACACACACACACAATGTCAACGCTGTCAACAGACCGTTGGTTTCTCGTGTCGTTGCAGGACTTGCGCACAGAGATCGTGACCACTGTTCACAGCCTCTTGCAGCGCGGTGCGCTGGGAAAGGTTCACCCTTTCCACTAGCAGATACAGCGAGGGCGCATGGACAAACGCCTGCTCAAGCAACTACGGTGACGAAAACATGCGTTGCACGTGTGTGCCCGTGTGAAATGTGGATGAAGCGTGTGCAAAGAAATGTGAGCCATAAATGTTTCAAGCGCCTGTGCAGAGGAGAACGCCAACGTGCTGCAAGCGTGCATGTGTGCATATGTGGATGCGTGTTTTCAAAGCAGCGAACATAGATTGCTGGCCCAAAGGTTACAATGCACAATGCACAAAGCTCTCTCTCTCTTCATACCTCTGCATGTCCTTCCCGACACAATATGTGCAAGAGGGTGTTGCCATCTGCCGTGGTCTGGAAGGTGATGGGATGGTCGTTACGAGGGAGGTGGACGAGGGTGGAGAGGTAAAGTGAGGCCGTTGCTCGCAGTGGTGGGGAAGCGCACCAGAGCGAGCTCTCCAACCATGAAATCACGAGGGTGACATGAAACACGTCTAGTCGCACCATCGACCCACACCAAAACAGCATCGCCGGCACTAGTTGTCACCTTACCATGTCGCACATGTTGGGGAAACGTTGTAGTAGTGTATGGACGGTGGGCGCCATATTTGTGGCTGCCTGTAGTTACATACGCAAGCGGGCGCACGAAGCATGTACTGTGAGCTGCTGTACGCAGCACTGGCCGTGAAATGGCAAGGAAAGAGCGCTGATGGCGGCAGGGATGTGGTTGCAACGCGATTTCCACGGCGTCAGAACTCGTTCACACTCAGATACACTGCGCAACAACGTCAAGGCGACAGCGCACGAACATCAACACACCGCCCAGTGAAGTGCCGTCATGCCTCGCGTGTCCTTGATGGTGGGGTCGATGCTCGGGTGTGTAAGCAGCAGCTGCACCAGCTCTTCGTTGCCGTGCGATGCCGCAATGAGAAGTGGGGCCATGCCGTGTGCGTCTGGCGCGTTGACGTCGACTTGGTACTGCAGCAGCACAGATACCATGCCCGTGTCGCCGCCCGCAACTGCTAACGTGAATGGAGAGTGGCCCTGCCACAACAACCATGTGTGTGTGTGTGTGTGTGTGTGTGTGTGTGTGTGTGTGTGTTCGCATGCGTGAGGGACAAGGTGGAACGAAGCGCCAGCCCAACATTTGAGGGTCAGGAGCATTGCCTCGTACACATGCTGACCTCCCGTTTGTGCAAGACATCGTATGCTACAATGTCCAGTTTTGACGCACCTCAGAGGACAGTAGATTGGGGTTGGCACCATTGGTCAGCAATGCCTGAGCAGTGCCTGTGGCTTGAAGAGACACTGCAATGTGCAAGGCCGGTATGCCATCTGGCGTGCGCACGTTTGGATCGGCGCCTTGTTGCAGCAGTGCCTGCACGGTCACCGCATCTCCAGAGCACACTGACACCAGAAGTGGCGGGAACGCCGCGCCAGACACGCCGCTTTCAATGCTGCGGTGCTGGAGCACTGCATGATGGTTGTATTGATGGTGGTGCTCCAGCGGAGTGGCGGAGGTGAAGGGGTTGCGCGTTGGGGCATTGGGGTGGTCGGGTTTAGACGCTTGCATCGCATACGATTGACTGAACTGTTGCCATGACCCAGAGGTCACCATCATTTCTGGGTTTGCTTGCTGGTCATGCTGTACCTACGTGCGTGCGTGCGTGCGTGCGTGCAGTGTGTGTGTGTGTGTGTGTGAGTGAGTGTGTATGTGTGTGTGAGTGTGTGTGTGTGTGTGCGCGCATGTGTATGTATACCTGAATGAGCAAGCGAAAAGAGTTAGTACCATGGTGTGCGTGTGTGAGCAACAAAGAAACAGGGAGGACAAGCGAAGCATCACACGCAAGCATCTCCTGAACACCAACACGAAAACAATACAGCACTGCCACACGACCAACCGCAAAGACGTCGTGGTGCGGGTTGGGCATGAATGGCACGCCACCGGCGGCAACAAAAGCCGATTCCTCAAACGCGCCATCAGCAACAAAGGGTGGCATGCCCTCCATATCGTCGGCATCACTGGCGCTATTGGTCCCAGGAGAGATGTCTGCGTACAATGAAGACTTGTCATCGTTCGAGAGGTGGCTCAAGTCATCAAGGTCCAGCATCTGATATGCCCACAGGGATTGTAAGCGTGAGTTACAAAGACGAGGCAGGCACAAAGTCAAGTGTCTGTCCAACAACTCGGAGAGGAGATGAGATATGGATCAGGGACGTGTGTGCTCGGACACCACTCGGGCGACTTGTACATGTGGCCGGTACACGTGCATTGGCAAAGAAATGCGCACTTGCTCTTGACCCTGTGGTTGCATGTATGATACACACACGCGCGCGCGCGCGCGCAATCACGCACCCGCAGACAGACCACGCACGCTCGCATGGGCACTACACGACATGAGCGTTCGTACAACGCACATCCTATGACTCACATCGTTGTCGAAGCTGTGGTGTCCTTGTGGGCGCTTTCGCATCTTGAAGAGGGTCAGGATGACCACTGCGATGAGGACAGAGCCTGCAGCCAGCCCAATGACGATGGTCGTGGCTGTCGACGACAAGCGGCTTCCTCGGTTTGGCTTGTTCACTGCAACATCGTCGTCATCCACACGTGCGTTGTCATCGTCGTCATCATCGCCATCATTGCCAGGTGGTTGTGGTGTTGCCGTTGTGTCAGTCGGTTGAGCAGTGGTTCTTGGTGGCTGTGTTGTGACCGGATCCGTTGGCTTGAATGGCGTATGCGGTGCGGTTGTGGGCGGTGCACTCGACGTGACCTTGTTTGAGGCTATTGAGGGTCGAAACATGTCGCTCGTCGTCGTCGCTAAGCCTGTCGAAGTTGCAAGCGTGGATGAAGTGGAAGTTGTGACAACAGTGGGTGTTGTTGTTGTTATTGTTGTTGCTGTGGTGGTGGTGGCGGTGGCGGTTGTTGTTGCTGTGGCGGTTGTATTTGTAGTGGTAGTTGTGGTTGTTGTTGCAGTGGTAGTTGTAGTGGTAGTTGTGGTGGTAGTTGTGGTTGGCGCATTCCCTTTGGTTGGCTGCGGTGGCTCGCGTGTCACGCCCTGAAAGCTGGTTGTGGTCGTTGTTGTTGCAGTGGTAGTTGTAGTGGTAGTTGTAGTGGTAGTTGTAGTGGTTGTCGATGTGGTTGTGGTTGTGGTTGTTGTCGATGTAGTTGTAGTTGTGGTTGGCGCATTCCCTTTGGTTGGCTGCGGTGGCTCGCGTGTCACATCCTGAAAGCTGGTTGTGGTGGTTGTTGTTGCAGTGATAGTTGTAGTGGTAGTTGTTGTTGTTGTTGTAGTGGTAGTTGTAGTGGTTGTCGATGTGGTTGTGGTTGTGGTTGTGGTTGTCGATGTGGTTGTGGTTGGCGCATTCCCTTTGGTTGGCTGCGGTGGCTCGCGTGTCACGTCCCGAGAGCTGGTTGGTGCTGCTGGTGCTGCCATCGCGGCTGTTGTTGTTGTGGCGATCGTTGGTACATTTCCTTTTGGTGGTTGCGTTTCAGGAAGCATGATCTGTGAGCTGGTTCTTGTCGTGGTTGTAGTGGTGAGGATCGATGTTGTCGTGGGAGCATTGCCGTGGCTGGCTCTCGTGGGCTCAGGAGTCAACACGGGTGACCAATTTGCCAAGGGTATGGGCTCGGCCGAATACTGCACGAGCGTACCCGCTGTATGTGGGGTGAACACGCCTGTGTTTGTCGTTGAATGGGATGGTGGATGATCACGCTCAAGAGCGTGGTTGGCATGGCTGTTAAGACTGTCGTGGCTGGGCGCGGCTGTACGAGGCAACGTGGGCAGAGCGGCCGCGGTATCGACCCAAACGTTGGCTGAACAGGCGAGTATCGCCACCCAGGCCACCGCCCATATGCGAAGCATTCGTGTGAGCGGAGGAGGGTGATGGCCACGATAAACCGCGTCGCCTCACTCGATCTACAACTCGTGGGTGAGCGAAGGTTGACTTGGGCGGCGGCACGATGAAGGTGGGCGGAGGGAAAGAGTCTTACAACTTTGCTCAAAGAGAGATGATTAAAGAACAAGTCGTCGCGTGTTTGCAGATTTGCGCTGTGGTGTGAACCCGTCATCAAACTGCGCCCACATCTGTGAAAGAGGCAAATACGATCCTACTACAACGCTGACATGACGTGAACCGGGGGGTAAAGGTTGGGGTAATTGGTGGACGCTTTCTATTAAATTTCGACAAAGTGAACATCTTGTCTGAACAGCCAGACAGACCACCGATGATGCAAGGCAACATTGACGTCAGTTGGCCTTCTTGGCGCGCCTGTGAGTCGTTTTACTTCTGCCAAATCGCAACGCGTTCAACAAGTCAGTGAGCGTGTGATGACACATGCGTGGCATGTGATGTGGTATTGTGTGATGTGACAGCGCATAGACAGTAAGCCAAAGAGTGCTTACGTGGCGGCGTTG